AATGCTCCTTGGAAGCAAGAATGGCTTGACTTCGTCTCGCCTGTTTTGGTCATGTTGTCAGAAGTGACTATTTCTTGGAGAAGGATATCGTGCTTGGTAAGGGTTGAGGGTCGACAAAAGAGGGGGAGGCCTTCAACAAGATGGATTGACACAGTGGCTGCGATGATGGGCTCAAGTATATCAGGGATCATGGAGCTGGCGCGGGATCGGGCAGTGTTTCGTTCTGCTGTGCATGGGGTCGCTATTAGTTGCAAAAGACTCAGCGGCACCTAACAACCACAACAACAAGCTGTAGAACATAAACCCACTATTACAAGAGTGTGGGGCTAAACCCAGACCTGGATGGTCACAGAGAAGGGGGGCAAGCAGGGAGAAAAAAAAAAAAAGAATACAGTGAACATCTGGTTGACCCTTGGACACTACCTGTGTAAAAGAGGCATGAGGAAGGAGCCTAGAGCTGGTAATGTGGCTGCACATGGAAGTAGAATTGTGAGGAAATGGATGTGTAAACAAACACACTGGAGCTTTTTACTTGGAAATCATGTTGCTTATAGCTATTATCTTCGGAAGAAGACTGGACAATATACTTCCGTAGAGGCAGTGCCTGGGAAACGCAAGGAAGGGTTGCTGTGAGTTGGGACCGACTCCATGGCAGTGAGTTTGGTTTTTTTTTTTTTCTTTCTTTTTTTAAATATAGCTGTTATTGGAAGCTCTGGTGGTGTAGTGCTTAAGGCATTTGACTGCTAACCAGAAGGCTGGTGGTTCAAACCCACCAGCCACTCCTTGGAGGAAGGTTCAGCGATCTACTTCTATAGTGATACCACCTCAGAAACCCAAGGAGGGGTTGCTATAAGTTAGATACAACTCCACAACAGTGATTTTTTTTTTTTTTTTTTAATTATTGAACTACAGAAAGCAACTCAAGCTCATGACAAGAGCAGCATTTCTGACAGAGCTATAGCTGTAGCCAGAAGTCACGGCTGATATTTGAGTTACATAATGTGGAAAGAACTGGTAATTCATTGGTTACTTAGATCACAGCTGTAGATTTTGGGACAACAACATGTCATTGCTGAGGAGCTCTGATGGCGCAGTGCCTAAAACATTTGACTACTAACCAGAAGGTTGGCGATTCAAACCCACCAGACATTCTGCTGAAGGAAGGTGGTACAATCTACCTCCATATAGATTTACCACCTTGGAAACCCAATAGGGATCGCTGTGAGTTGGAGTAGACTCGATGGCAGTGGGCTTTTTTTTTTTTTTTTAATGCCATTGCTACAAATTAAAGCTAGGATAATCAGTTGAGTTGGAAGATTTGTTTTCAGTCCTTGTTTAATAGTTACAGCTTGACCCAAGTGCTTTTTTAACGTAATAGATGTATTATACATACATACAATGCTATTTGAAGGTGTGTGTGGGGGGAAAGATACATGTTTATGAAAATTTAAGTCTATCTCTAAAGAGATTCACAAAAAATTTGAGTGCTGGGGAGACTAAAGGAGAGAAGAATAGGAGATTGACCTTGCCCAGAATTTCCTGTGGTGTTTCTGATTTTTGTACTGTGTATAGGTATTTCTTACTGGAAAAAATCAAATATGCAAATTAAGACGCTCTTCGGTCTGTTTTATGACCCAAGAGTCTAGTGGTCCTTCTGTTTATGGTTTCTTTAAACTGTATAATTTTAGTAAGAGTTTTTAAATTGTTTTCTTTCATGTTTTAAAAGACTTAGATATATTTTACAACATACTTTTACATTAAGATCTGTTTTCCAATTTTAATTAAAATAGGACTCCTTTTAGTGATATACACTTAACAAGCATGATCTTCTTAAAGAGTAACTTATAAAATGATTAGTTTAGTTTTTTCTGATAGTTTAGATGAGGTTGTAATTTGTGTGGCACGATAATAATAGGTAACATTTCTTGGGTGGTTACTGCATTTCACATGCATTATCATTCTAACTCTCACCAGTACTGTTAGATATAGGCAATACCATTTTCACCATTTTATCAGATGAGGAAACTAAAGCTTAGAGGTATTAAATAACTGGCCCAAGGTCTTGAAACTCTAGAAGTTGCAGAGCCAGACTTTATATCTGGGTCTGGCTTGCTGCAGAGCTTATGTTTAACCAGCTAAGCACTGTTCTCTAATTTCTTTCTCAAACAATTGCAAGGTATAGTTACTGTTTAAATAGAGAAAGGGTGTGATTTAAAGTAATGAAACTGGTTTCACAAGTTGTGGGCTTCTCCATTCTCTTTACTATGTAGTCACCTCTTTTAAAATTTAGGAGATTATCATTTCCAAACATCCTAAAAGGCCTCAGCAGAGGTGCACTTTCGTCAAAGTATGACATACGTTCATTGACAGATGGAATTTTCTTTTTTAAATTTATTTCAAAAATTGTTAACACATGGTTCCAAACCAAATTATATGAAAGATACGCGTTGAAAAATCCAACTCCCGTCATTGTCAGAGTCTATCTGCTTCCCTGTCCTGTCCTCCCTATCCCCATGACAATAGCACTTTATTAGTTTCTGTAAATGTATATGTATGTATATATCTTTTCCCTTTCAAAGGTGTATTTGCTACAAATAGAATATGTTTTTCTCTCTGTCTGCTTCTAATTTTCAATGAGAAGAAGAGAAAAACTCATTTATAAACTTCACATGTTTGAGTCTTCCTTTGGGAAGTCTAATTGCTTATGGCAACAGGAGTTATATCACTGGTGATTTTTTTTTTTTTAATTCCTTAATCTAGATGGATAAATTGCACCAGAATACAGTATATTTGAAAATTATTCTCAGTATAAAAAGTGCCCCAAAACTGAGCAACTCCTCCATGTCGTCTGTGTTTATATCAGATTTTAAAGGTATAATGTATATTGTGGCAGCGTTCATTTAAAAACAGAACCTCAATCTTTCTAATGAATGTTGTCTACTTTTGGATAAATCCAATGGCTAACTTTCCTTTCTTCTTATTCGTTGTAGTTGAGGCAGTCCCAGTCCTACTGCACAGACACTGAATGTCTTCAGGAATGTAAGTAACAACGGGCAGGAGGATACTTAGCATTGGGGGCAGAATTATAGAACAGACGACGGTGAATATTTTCTCAGAAATTATTCTTACAGTTTTGTCTTTATGATAATATTTCTCAGTAATGTGTAGTGTATTTGTCACTTAAATATTTCATTTTTTCATTTGAGAAATTGTTTTTTCCTGCCTCACAACAAAAATCTGGTTTTTTGAAGAAAATTATGAAATCATAGATAAGGAAAAATTCCCAGAATACTGTTATGTAAAGATAACCACTATTGACGACGTGGTTATGTACACTCTCAGACCTTTTTCTTGTCAAATGTATGAATAGAAGGCATTTTTGACTCTGAAATGGAACATCAAGCCTGCTAGCACTAACCTCTCAACCTACCACCTGTTTGCATCATTTGGCTAGGTTGGAAACTTCTGAGTGTGGGAAAGAGGCCATTCATTCCCAGGGTTTGGAAGCTTTGGGAGTCTGGAGTTCATTCCTTGTGCTGTCTTTCCCATGAGAATCAGAGCGAGAAGATGATCCTGCATGGTGAACGTGGCTGACAGACTCAGTGGCCAGTTTATAAGGTTTAGTGACACTCAGAAATAACTTGAGGGATACATTGAGGGCAACTAATAACTAGCATTTAATTTAAGCCTGTCATCTTGTGCCTTAATAATTTGACTGTAAGAAGGGAAGCGTGACATTCATAGGATGGTGAAAGTGGCACAATTAGATTTCACATACACTTACAAAAATGAGATCATTTTGTATGTGTTGTTTTTTACTACTATATTATGAATGTAAGGAGCGCTGGTGGCACAATGCTTAAGGCATTTGACTGCTAGCCAGAAGGTTGGTGTTCAAATCCACCAGCCACTCTGAGGAAGGAAGACGGGACCATCTACTTACATAAAGATTTACTGCCTCAGAAACCCAGTAGGGTTGTTATGAGTTGGAATTGACTCAATGGCATCAATATATCTTTTTTAAAATATTTTATTGTTGATGAAATTTACACAGCATGGAGAGTTCAGTGCCATTGGTTACATTCTTTACATTGTGTCACCTTCTCACTATCTCACCATATGTTGTTTTACTACCTTTGCCTTAGACCCACTGGCCTATAAACTACTCATCTATGCTTTAGATTTACTGGTGTCAGTTTGATCTGATACAGTTAATTCTTGTATTAGTGTATCTTTATGTTAAAAATATTTGTTGTTGTTATGTGCCTTCGAGTCAGACCCAACTCATAACGAACCCCTCCTTGTGTTTCTGAGGCAGTATCACTATGGAAGTAGATTGCTCCATCTTCCTTCCGAGGGGTGGCTGGTGGGTATTTAATGACTAAATAATATTGTATTTAGGGATGCACTGAAGTTTAGATGACTCCTGTTTGCTGGAATCTTACATTAATTTTTTTCACTATTATAAACAGTGTTTGAACAAATATCCTTTGTGTGTACATTTTAAAGCTCTTGACATATTGCCAAATTGCATTTATTTTTCTGCTAGTTGCTTGTACTTAACATCTCTGAAGCTGAGTTCCACTTTATTATGTACATGAAACTAAGGTACCATTATGAAAGGGCTTGTTGACATGAATTCCTCTGTGAACTGAGTGTCCTATCAAATTCTGTAAATACAACAGTTTGGAGGAATAGGAGCTACTATAGTATCTAGCCCAAAGTAGAAATGAACATAGTCCATTGGTACAACTGGATAATGGTATACATAACTCAGGACAAGAAAGAAATGTGCAGACGCTGTGTTACAGTGTTGGGACGATGGGTGGTGGTTCTCTCACTCCGATTTATGATGTTCCTCCAGTAGCATTCTTCAGTCCACAGTGTGCCCTCTGATAAAAACCCACTGCCATCGAGTTGATTTCAACTCCTAGCAACCCTACAACAGAGTAAAACTCTCCCATAGGGTGTAATTCATGGAAGTAGACTGCTTCATTTTTCTCCTGCAGAGAGCCTGGTGGGTTAGAATTACTGACCTTTTTTTTTTTGGTTCACATCCAAACACTTTAACCACTGCGCCACCAGAGCTCCTTGCCCTGCTGATAAGCAGCTCAAATTTTTGCCTCAACAGGTAAAGCTAAAGCCTGCTTTTCTAGTTGAAAAACAATCTTACTGAACTCCTGATGGGAAAACAAATATTTATTACATTTGTGGTTGTTTATGACCCTTGAACCAGCTCTTCCTGTAAACCAAATACACTTTTATTTCTGAGTGAAGTGTCACTTCTTAATCTAAATATAAAGGCAAAAGTCTAAGTCTTGAAACTAATTTAGTGATATGGCAACTTTTGCCCCCCCCCCCCCCCCCCAAAAAAAAAACCCACCACATTTCGTGGAAATCTTTTCTGAGAGTCAGGTTCTTAAATACTTTGAGCAGTGGTTTCCCCTGGGTGATTGAATTACTTTTATGTATATTCTAAGTTTTCTCCAGTGACTTTATAGTTTTTCCTAAAGTAATAAAATACATTTTACAACTCTCTTCATAGATACTTGTATTACTATTTAATTGAAAAAATAGGTTATTTTTAAAAATTATATAACACAGTCTGTCTTCATACCATAGGAAATTGGGGCTTGGTAATAATTGAAATAACTCAATGAATATATAGTCTATTTTCCTGTCCTGACTTTGTTTGTTTGTTTGTTTGTTTTGGTTTAATTTTCTTTTGGCTTTTTTTGACTATCTTTTATAATTCCTGTAGTTTGATTTTGTATATGGTTCATTGCTTTTGAAGTGTTTAATTATTGTGAAATGCCATTTCTTTTTCAGGCATGAAACTAACTGCTAGATAGATTTAAAGTTGTTAAAATACAGACCAAAGGGTAAATTGTGGGGAGATCTATATGTTCTTGTTTACAGAATCTCTTTTAGCTTTGACAGTTGGCATCAAATATTGTTTGGGCTTTTAATGTTGTTCTGTTTTGTCCAGATGATTGCTAAAGGTAGTTTTTCTTAGTTGTTCTGATAATTCTGTGGCAGTTTTATGTTGATTATTTCTCCTATTAAGATTTTTCCTTTGACATTTCTAATACCTGGTGTATAAGTCTAAATCTTCTGCTTCTTCCTAATATGTGGTCATGGTTTGAAAACTTAATCTGTTTCCAACCATTAACTGATAACTCAGTCCTATTCATATTTCCAGATCTCTGTCTGGCTCCTGTTTCTCCTCCTGTTCCAGTTCTAGCTTTTCACCATTTTCAGTCTTCTTTCTGTTGCCTGCTGTCTATCCATCTGACCTCTTTTCTGTGGAATCCCCAAGACTCGGTCCCTGGCCTCTTACCTTTCTGCACTCACTTCCTTGGTGAACTCACACGGTCTCAGGGCTCCCTATGCTGATGACTGTCTCTGTGCACCTCCATTGGGATGCTTCAGAGGCATCTCCAACTCACCATCTTCAGAACTGAGCTCCTGATAGTCCCCTCTAAACCTGCTCCTTCTGTGGTCTTTCCCATACCCATTAATGACCTTCTGGGAGTCATGAGACACTTCTCTTTCTGCATCATTCTGTTAGCAAGCACTGTCTAAAAGATACATCCAAAATTCTACTTCTAGCCTCCTCCCTGTCCCAAGCCATCATCAACTCACATAGATTATTGCAGTAGCGTCTTGTTTCTTCTGTTTGCAGTCAGAGTGGTCCTATCAAAATGAGAATCAGAGCTTATCTCTTTTTCATTCCAAACTCTTCCAGTGGTTTCCTATTTCATGCATAGAAAAAGCTAGTCTTTATTATTACCTATATCGACTGCATGATCTGATTCCTGTTACTTTTCTGATCTTAGACTCCATGCAACCCAGCTACAACTCGGCTCCCCAGTTCAGTTACGCATTCAGGAGGCTCTTGAATCAAGAGCACTTGTTATTCTTTCTTTCTGTTACCTCACAGCTCATTCCCTCACTTCCTTCGTATTTTCTTTTTACTCCAAAGGCACTTTCTCTTTCTTGCTTTGTTTTTTATCCTTTAGCTCCTATTTCAGGAAGTCAGACAGGGCAATCTACTTCTGTAGTGATACCGCTCGGAAACCCAAGGAGGGGTTTCTATGAGTGGGTCCAACTCGACGGCAATAACAACGGCGACAACAACAGCACCTGTTTCTACCAAATATATATGTTGTTGTTACGTGCCGTCGAGTCGGACCCGACTCATAGCAACCCCTCCTTGGGTTTCCAAGGTGGTATCACTACAGAAGTAGATTGCCCAATCTTCCTTCCGAGAAGTGAGTGGTGGGTTTGAACCGCCAGTCTTCTGGTTAGCAGTCAAGTGCCTTAGGCACTAACTATGCTACCAGAGCTCTTCCAGATATATATAGTACTTACTTACCTTGCTTATGTCAACTCAGGGATTGCTTTTTTATTTTAAATTTAATTTTAATTTTCTCTTTATTCCCAGCACCAAGCCAGTAATTTCCATACTCCCTATTTCTGTTAGTAGTTTCCAATTCTCTAGGTTCAAACCTTGCCATCTGATTTTAACATTTCCTTCCTTCATTTTCTATATCTGGTAGTCACTAAGTCCTCTGGTTAAGGTATTTTAGGTATCATAGTGTATTTTGTCCCCTATGTAGTGAGTCTCACATTAATATTTATTGCAGCATTGTGTAATGACTAGAAAACTGACCTAAGGAGCCTATAATTAAAGTTTATAAGCATGGAAATTCTAATGATTTTTTTTTAAGTATAAAGATCCCCTACTTTGAAACAAGTGAGGAATCAATATTAATTTAGAGTATCTTGCATGATAAGCAGTACATAAACATTAACTCTACAAGTCTCCACAGTGGTATAAATATGATACATACCTTAGAACTTCATAGAATCTTAAAAATGGAAGAGTTTGGGTGTTTTTTGTTTTGTTTTGTTTTTTGCAGTAGACCTCTTTAAACAAATGAGAGGATGCTGTTCATTTAGCCTGTCTTTCCCTAAATACATTAAACTGAAAATAAACCCTGGGGCACCCCCTACAACACAGTTTAAAAGTAGTA